TAAAAACGTTACTACAAACCGGATTCCAAAAAAGTTGTGACACTAAACAAATTGTGAATAAAAACTGAATGCAGAGATGTGGAGGTGCCAACATCTAATATTTTATTCAGAATAGAACACAAATGACAGATCAAAAGTTTAAACTGAGAGAATGTATCATTTTAAGGGAAAAATCTGTTGTTTCCAAATTTCATGGCGTCAACAAATCCCAAAAAAGTTGGGACAAGTCCATTTTTCCCACTGTGTGGCATCCCCCCTTCTTCTTACAACACTCAACAGATGTCTGGGGACAGAGGAGACCAGTTTCTCAAGTTTAAAAATAGGAATGCTCTCCCATTCATGTCTAATACAGGCCTCTAACTGTTCAATCGTCTTGGGCCTTCTTTGTCGCACCTTCCTCTTTATGATGCGCCAAATGTTCTCTATAGGTGAAAGATCTGGACTGCAGGCTGGCCATTTCAGTACCCGGATCCTTCTCCTACGTAGCCATGATGTTGTGATTGCTGCAGAATGTGGTCTGGCATTATCATGTTGAAAAATGCAGGGTCTTCCCTGAAAGAGATGACGTCTAGATGGGAGCATATGTTGTTCTAGAACCTGAACATAGTTCTCTGCATTAATGGTGCCTTTCCAGACATGCAAGCTGCCCATGCCACAAGCGCTCATGCAACCCCATACCATCAGTGATGCAGGCTTCTGAACGGAGCGTTGATAACAACTTGGGCTATCCTTGTCCTCTCTGGTCTGGATGACATGGCGTCCCAGTGTTCCATAAAGAACTTCAAATCGTGACTCATCTGACCACAGAACAGTCTTCCATTTTGCCACACTCCATTTTAAATGACCCCTGGCCCAGTGCAAACATCTGAGCTTGTGGAGCTTGCTTAGGAATGGCTTCCTCTTTGCACTGTAGAGTTTCAGCTGGCAACGGCGGATGGCACGATGGATTGTGTTCACTGACAATGCTTTCTGGAAGTATTCCTGAGCCCATTCTGTTATTTCCTTGACAGTGGCATTCCTGTTTGAGGTGCAGTGACGTTTGAGGGCCCGGAGATCACGAGCATCCAGTAGTTTTACGGCCTTGACCCTTACGCACAGCGATTGTTCCAGATTCTCTGAATCTTTTGATGATGTTATGCACGGTTGATGATGATAACTTAAAAGTCTTTGCTATTTTACGCTGGGTAACACCATTCTGGTATTGCTGCACTATCTTTCTGCGCAACAATGGTGGAATTGGTGATCCTCTTACCGTCTTGGCTTCTGAGAGACACTGACACTCTGAGAAGCTCTTTTTATACCCAATCATGTTGTCAATTGACCTAATTAGTGTTAATTGGTCTTCTAGTTGTTCGTTATATGCTCAATTTCCTTTTTCCAGCCACTTATTGCTACTTGTCCCAACTTTTTGGGGATTTGTTGACACTGTGAAATTTTGAATCAACATATTTTTCCTTTAAAATGTTACATTTACTCAGATTAAACTTTTGATCTGTCATCTATGTTATATTACTAATAAAATATTGACATTTGCCATCTCCACATCATTGCATTCAGTTTTTATTCACAATTTGTTTAGTGTCCCAACTTTTTTGGAATCCGTTTTGTAGCACCTCCTTCTTCCACCTGCGTAATATCACTAAAATTAGAAACATCTGATCTAAAAATGATGCAGAAAAACTGGTCCATGCATTTGTCACGTCTAGACTGGACTATTGCAATGGTTTATTATCTGGGTGTCCAAATACTTCTTTAAAACGTCTTCAGTTGATCAAAAATGCTGCTTCCAGAGTCTTAACTGGAGTTACTGGGAGAGATCATATCTCTCCAGTTTTAGTTTCTCTCCAGTGGCTCCCTGTCCAATCCAGAATAGAATTCAAAATCCTACTTCTAACCTACAAAGCTCTCAACAACCTAGCTCCATCTTATATTACAGGTCTTATTGTTCCATATTTTCCTAACAGAGCACTTCATTCTCAGACTGCAGGTTTACTTGTGGTTCCTAGAGTTTACAAAAACAGAATGGGAGGAAGATCTTTCAGTTCTCAGGCTCCTCTCTTGTGGAACCAACTTCCAGTCTCTGTCCGTGAGGCTGACACATTATCCAGTTTTAAAACTAGACTTAAGACTTTCTTTTTGATAAATCCTATAGTTAGGTTCAGCTTGGGTTTCCTGAGCTGTCCCTTAGTTCTGCTGCTATAGGCTTAGACTGCTGGAGGACAAACTGACCACAATTTTCACTCTACTACTGTCTTTACTTACTCTGCTCAACCTGTTTTGTATTTGTAATTATTTTTTCTATCCTTAACATGTTTTTGTCTTTCAGATACACCTGGACCTATACCTGGACCTGGACCTATACCTGGACCTACCATTCTGTGTTCGTCTGTCTCTCCTTCCTGTCCTCTCAACCAGCCGGTCAAAACAGATGACCTCTTGTCCTGAGCTGGTTCTGCTGGAGGTTTCTTCCTGTTAAAGGGAGTTTTTCTTTCCACTGTCTCCACTGTGCTTGCTCAGGATGGGAGACTGCAACGAAGCCAAGATTCAACTTGTCTGCTGGATTCTTAGATAGAGAACTTTACTCATTGTCTTTTATGTGAATGTTCCTGTAAAGTCCCTGAGACAACGTTGTTGTGATTTGGCGCTTTATAAATGAACTGAATTGAATTGAAGACTGACAGATAGTTTTAACGAGAGTTTTGGTTCAACTGACCTCAAAGTTTTTGAAACATCCGAACTCGCTATTATGATATCTTCCTTATCAAAAAGGAGTATTTCTATCAGACTCATTCCCATGAAGATAACACCATAAGAACCCTTTGTTTAATGACATTCCTTTTTAGGAGATTGACAGATGGACAGATGGACAGATGGACAGCGACATCTTTTGGTGAAACACTGCATGGCTGTTAATTCAAAGATGTCATTTCTGTTTTATTCCATAACTGAATGTTTATTCATGAAAATGTGTGTTTTAAGTAATCTTTCTTTAAGATAATACATTTGTCTTATTTTCTCTTTTAAAAAGAAAACTTAAGGCAGAGAAAAGGGACTTTAGATTTTATAAAAACAAGCCAAGAGTTTAGGACCACCCCTCCTGAGATGGATCAGTCTTATCTGATTTTACACGCATAGTTCAGTTTCACTTCTTCACACCTCACTAAAGCTTTGTCTAAGAAAACTTGTGTAGAAAACACACGCTCTGAAGAGACGCTCAGAAGCAACACGCTTCTGCACAGAGAACTGGAGAGAAGAAACCCAGCTTAACCAGGCTAGCACTGACCCGAGAGCTATCTGCCAGGCAACCATCACAGTAAATAGGTGTTTACATACAAGTATCTCATTTAAACTTAAAACAGGGGCATTAAACAGAGCAAAGCAAGAGGGGAAAAAAAACAAACAGGGAGGAAGGGGCTGTTCCTCATGAGCTTTACTGAAGAGGACCACGTCAAGTTTGTTTAGAAAGTACATTTAAAAACAGAAGTTGTTAACAACGGTGTTTATGAAATAAATAAAACCAATAAAAATAGATGGTACTAATATAATGAATATTTACCGCATTCTACCGGTACCATTTGGCTTCTGGTCACGACCTAGATAAGACTGGGTTTTACCGGTAAATAATTTTAAAATAATTTCAGTTACATAGGTGTTTAGCACTGTTTTGTCCAGTGATTATGCTTATTGCATTCATTTTGACGGTATAATGGTTGTAACCATGAGTCACACAGCCAAGCTTTACGAAGACATGGCGATAATGCAGACTGAGTGTGTGTTGAAAGCAAGCTGCATTCTGTGAGTCTCCACCTGCTGGCTGATTCTTGTATTACAGCAAAAAAGCTGCACACAGCCGGAGCAGACTGGGGGCACAGATCCTGAACATATGGTGGATACCCGCGGCTAAATAACCGGGGCGTCTTATTCATGTACAAAATTATGATTTATCTTATATTTAATAAGTGCAGCTTAAGAGACAGGTGCGTTCTTAAGCCCGACAATTATGGTAATAACATGCTTCTAACAGGAATTAACAGGGCCTAATTTTCTTTTCTGTTACACTAAAGTATAATCTCTGTTTTATGCAGGTGGGTAAAAGACAGGAAATCCAGCATCCAATATTTTTTTAGTATTGTACAGTGTGACATGTTACGATCAGACTTTAAAATTTCAAGCTCGCCCGATGTGGCATGTACAGATGGTTTGTGACAGGGCTTAATTTGATCTGGGAACTCTTTTATTTTGACAGGGTGCGCTCCAGCAATTGTTTGCTTGGATCTGGTAACTGTCAGGCCTACTAATAATACACTTATGAACAAATTGGATTGCCTTGAATAAATAAAAATTATATTGTTTATGTAAACTGACAATATTTACATAAACACTCATTTTAAACACAACAGCCACTTATGAGCTTCTTAATATCATGATCATCTGCCCCGTCAAATGAAGCATTTCTGCTGCTTCTACCCTTTAAAAAAATCTTTGCCCCTAAAAGTCCAGTCATTGTGCATTTTTATTAAAAAACTCAAAAATATAATTAAACAGCACAAAAAATGTTCATCAGTTTTATAGTTTAAGTGGGTCATTAATAAAATTTTGATTATTTATTAAAAATACAACGAGAGAAATGTTTGATGTGTATTATTCACATTAAATCATGTCTCAAAACAACAATGCTAATTTGTCTAAACTAACAGTGATCAAAATGTTGAAAAGACAGTCCAACTTACTTTAATTTAAAAACTATCCCGATGCATGCTCAATAAAATTAAAAAAAGGCTTCTCTTGCACACGGGTATAAATTTTAATTGCTACCGTTGACCACACTTGCTGTCCCAAAAAGAATTCAAGTTTTCACGCACACAAAAATAAAATCACAAACGAAAATGCAACCATTTGTGAAGGTTTTAAACTAAATTCTTTGTCTAATTAAGACTAGGAAATAGATAAAGTCAAACAAACAGGATAAAAAAAGGAAACGAGTAGAATCATGAACTTACTTCTGCACTGGCTCATTGCCAAACTTCATCAGCATTCTGATGGCTGTTGGAGCTGTGTAGAACTTTGTGACATGGTATTTGTCCACTATCTCCCACATACGGCTCACATCTGGGTACGTGGGCAGACCCTCAAACTGGCACAATAAAAAATACATAAATACATTTTAAAAATTTTACAAGGACTCAAACACATATTTTTAAAATTTGGATAGATGTAGGAAGGTAAGATTACCGGTATATGACTAAAAACACTTAAGTGTTTTCAGCCTGAATGGCACAGAACATTTTAAACTAAAGCTGCTATCAGATATGTTGTAGGTTCTTAGACGAGCTGATAAGTACCTTAAGACTCAGATAAAACTTTTATACCCTTTTGCCAAAGAACCCCCTCCCACAAAAGTAAATGAAATACCTTCAAATTATGAAAATCTAATTAAATAAACTAATAATATTTGGTAATTGTGTTTGAGTTTAAGGAATCATTCACAAATTTCAACAGTATCACTTTGCTGGTGAAGCTTCATCCAGGACATGATGAATTCAAAAAGTGTTCAGTACAAAAACAACTGGACTTTATTTGTAACAGAAGACGTTTCTCTCCTCATCCGAGGAGCTTCCTCAACTCAAAGAGCAGAGAGTGAGAGGTTCAGGTTATAAGGCTGAGTGAGATAAGACACACACACACATGTAGATTGACAATTCACACCTCACACCTTAACAGTAGGTCTTTGTTCCTCTAATGCCCCTTTTCCATTAGTACCGGTACTTAGCACCTGTTACTATTTTCAGTACCCTTGGCTCTGTGGTTCTAACCGGTACGAAGAGGTACTAAAACGTGACGTCAGTACACTGTCGGTCACTGGTTGGTCGAGGGCGGAGTCACTGGATCCTTCAGAAACGTTTCAAAACAATAATCTGCCATTTTCAATTTCTCGGACTGGAGCAGCGGCTGGACTTATTTTAAAGATTTTAAAAACAATACTGACAACATCTTGGTCTAATGTTGATGTGCTGGCATTTTTTGTGCTTGGTGGCCGACAACATAATTCAGAACAAGCTGGATGGAGCTCTGCTGGTGTACCCCGATCCTCCCTCTGGAGCCTCGGAGCGCCAGACCGGGCAGGGCGTCATCTCCCCGGCTCCAAGTTCAGCTGGTCACCGCGGAAGATCCTTCGATGTGCTGACTCGGAGGCTCGGGTTCCAGATACCAGCCGTGTGTGCTCAGAGCTCCGCAGGTCACTGCAAAGCTGGAGATGGGGACTCACAGATGGCCGTTGCCAGACCCCGGCCGCGCTTAATCATGAAGGCTGAATCCCGATCCCACCCGCAGTCAGGCGGACTGGACAGTCTGGGACGGACGCTGGAAGCGATTTTTAAATAAAATACTATTTTGTTTTTATACAAAAAATGTTTTAAAAAATTGCTGAAGCAATTTAAAAATGATTATAATTTTTTTACACGTAAAAGGTTTTTTTAAAATCGCTTCCACCGTTCGTCGCAGACCCGTCTCTGTCCGCCTGTCTGCGCGGGTCGGGCCTTCATGATTACGCGTGGCTGGAGTCTTGGAACGGCCTCTGTGAGTGACCAGCTGAGCTGGAGCTGGGAGGATGAGCTTCCCAGCCTCGTCCTCTCCGGAGGAGAGGATCAGTGAGACCAGCAGAGCGTTGAAGATTAAAAAAATAAATAAATAAATAAACGGTGCCAGCTTCATCATGAAATCCTGTTTTCACTTTAACGACTGTTAACTCAGCTGAAAATCATAAAAAGACACAAAACTATTGGATCTCAGGAATATTTCCCTCAAACATGTTTAAAGAAGAGACGACTTCAGTTCAACTTTATTTTAACCCACAAATGTACAAATCACAAAATAAGAACTTTAAAGCAAAGCTAAAAATAAAATGTATATATGTGAACAAGAAAGGAAACCACACATTTAAAATGAACATTAAAAGTTGACACAATGAGTGCAAATACATCAAATGATGATGAAAACCTATAAAAATTTAAATCTAATGTTTTTGTAGAATCTGGATCATCAGACTTTTAATTTATATACATATACATATATTTATATCTATAAATATATATAGATAAATATATATGTATATATATATATATATATGTATATAAATATATATGAATATATATAA